CACCCACAATGGCGTCTCTGAGCTGAGCGCCCACACACTGGCTCACAGTGTGGCCGAGATGGGTGTGTGTCCAACACAGCGGGGACCGGGGGCCCCTCACAGCCCCTGCCAACCGCAGCAGCACCAGCACGCGAGGGCCAGGCAGGTGAACAAGCCCCCGCCCAGCACCACTGGCCGGGGACAGCGCCCCAGGGATGGCGCTGGCGGCTGGCGGCTGGCGGCTGGGTGGCAGAAGGACCTGTGACTGTTCCATTACGCAGCCCACTTCCGCCAATTACTCACGCTCCCCGCCACGCGGTCTCCTGGGCTTTGTTTTCCCCCTTCACGTCCAAATTAGCTCCAGTGAATCATCGCTCACTGGATCAGCGAGTGGCAGGCGCTAACGAATTACTGATTTTTCACCTTCCACCAGCCGACATGATGCATTTATGTCGGAAAGAAAGGCACTGTTTGAATGAAGACGGGTATCTTTTGATAGTTTTCCTTTCAGACATGATACATGTGCATGATGCCGCGCCAACAGCCGACAAAATTCTAATCACAGCAGCCGAGTCCGTCGGCCCTGCCAGGCCCACAGACCCTCCACCGCGCTGGCCTCCAGGACAGGACGCTGCGCCCCTTCTCTGCGGCGCGCTGGGGGCAGGGGGCAGCGGCAATCGTGCCTGGCACGCCCTGCCCTGCCGCCCGCAGGGAGACACCGGCAGGCTGCTTGCCAGCTCCGTGCCCCAGCTCCCTGCGGCAGGCTCCAGCTAGGAACAAGGGGTGCTCCCGCGGCTGACGCCCCTGCGCAGTGCCTGGCACATAGTCGGTCTCAGTGAACGTTGCTGTTACCAGTCGCCCTAATTCCTGACCGGAAGAGCCAGGATCACGCTTGATTCTCAAGCACTGGCCTGTGCACCGGCCCCCCACCCCTCGCGGCCCAAGACGCTCAGCGGAACGCGGCAAGGCGGACAGAGTCAGAGGCCAGCGCCAGGCCCAGGCTGTCCTGGACCGAAGGGGCAGTGCTGCAGCCGGAGCAGTGTGGGCAGGCCCCTCTCTCGCTGCCATGGAGACCCTGGGCCGGGAGCTACTTAAAATGTGCTGTTGATACACTTGAGGTTCACTGCAAATAATTTTTGGTCTGTGCTGTGCCTCCAGCCATCACGGAACGTGCTCATGGCCACCGGGCGCCAATTCTGCGTCCCTGATGCCGGAGCCCCGAGAACCCCAGCATATGTCTACTGCCGCTGAAGCGTCTCATCACTTCATCTCGGGGCTGAACAGTGTCCCGTGGTTTCCGAGAGGGCTCGGAATGTGGCTCTGCGTGGCAGCGGCAGACACTCCCCGTCAGGCTGTGGGATTCGGGGGTAGATGGAGGAACCGGGCGCCCGAGGAAGGTCGCTTTAATTTACTTCCAGACACAGTGGCTTAATTAGAAAACAAATTCCGTCCCAGCTTTAAAGATTGCTAAATGCGCTCTCTCTCTCTCTCTCACACACACACACACACACACACACACACACACACCCCGCCCACATCCCCTCCCTCGTCTTGGGCCGAGGCTGTGAACAATGAGTGTTTGGCACAGGTGACTGGGGTGGCGGAGGCCGGGTGGGGTTTGCACTTGGTGGCCGGGGCCTGGTCACGATGCTGCCTGCGTGCAGCGTGCGGTGGCAGCTGAGTGTACAGGGCTTGGGCCCCGAAGGCCTCGGCACACAGGGCCGCACGCGTGGGAGGACGGCTGCGCGGGAGGGTGTGAGCGTCCTGAGCGCCGCAGCCTGCGCCAGCCGACCGGGCGCAGCGCCCCGGAGGGGCGTGGTGGGCAGAGGGTGACGGGGGTGTTACTCGCTCTTCTTGCCAGTCGCTGAAGCTGAAGGACGTAAACCCGATGGCACAGGCCTGTACTGCCGTTTCACCTCTGGATTGGGACTTGTCACCTTGGTCAGGGGGCAGATGACAGACAGGAGGCTCTCAATGGGAGACTGTCAGCGTGGGGAGCTGAGACAAGAGAATAAAACGGCAGCGCGCAGTGTCTAGGGCCCTCCAACCGGGCAGAGCCAGCGAGCTTTGAGCGGCGGCCCAGCTGGCGTGGCGTTTGTGCGTCACCGGGGCCCCACCACTGGGTTCCTGCGCTGCCACGGCTCCCGCCGCTCTGGAGAGCGCGGAGACCTTCCCCTAGTGCTTCCTTGCAGGCGGGGTCCCACCCCACCTCCTGCATCAATGTACAGTGCTCAGGTTTTGTTCGGGACAAAGAACTGCCGAAGAAATCATGAAATAGGCCCCGGCTGGCATGGCTCAGTGGACTGAGCGCCAGCCTGGGAACCGAAGGGTCGCTGGTTCAATTCTTGGTCAGGGCACAGGCCTGGGATGCTGGCTGGGTCCCCAGTAGGGGGCGCGCACAGAGGCAACCACAGGTTGACGCTTCTCTTCCTCTCTCTCTCCCTTTCATCCTCTCTAAAAGTAAATAAATAAAATCTTCAAAAAAAAAAAAAAAGAAATCATGAAATAGGATTAAGAGACTGAGCAAAAGAGCCAGTTTCTGTTTGGTCCTATACTTGTCATTAAACACAAGTCCCTCAAGGCCCCTCACCAGGTAACCTGGGCCCATGGTCCTTCACTAAGAAGCTCACCGGGCGCCCATGCCGAGGCCCCCCAGGGCTGCAGGGGACGGCCACACCCATCCCACATGGGACACGGGACAGGGACGGGGACAGCCACGGGACGACGCCCTCTGTCAGCCGCATGCACACGTGGGCCTTGGAGCAGAGAACCGTTGAAGGACGCGCAGGGCCGGCGGGGGGAGGGCAGCCGGCTGACCCCTGGGCCGAGAGCGCACCCACGGCTTTGCCCGTACTGGGCGACTGGCCTCCTAAAACCTCTCAAACCATTAACATTTTACACTTGAAACATTCCATGGCCGCTCCAGACATCAGCGACTTAATCACGTTTTAACAAAAGAAACACTTCCGCCCCACCTTGGGCGGGGTCAGCTGGCTTGAGAAAAGTTGAGAAAATTTTAAACCGGGGGTGGTCTGAACACGAGAACCGTGACCTGGCTGTGCTACCATGTGGTTTACTGACGTCTTAATGGACGTGGCTTGTCTGAGAAATTCCATGGATAAGGTGGCAGGTAACGGAGCGCCCATGGCTCAGAGAGGGAGGGAAGCGACGGCCCCAAGACCGCGCCCAGCAGCGCCTGGCAAACGGAGCAGCCTCCCGAGCTCCGAAATCTTGCCGGGGTGCTGAACCAACCAGGATGGCTGACCGGGCAGGCCTGATGTTTTCTTATGGAAAAAAAATTTTTCCACGTGACGATTCTCGAGGCTCGCACTGTGTTCAGCATCTGCGAGCGGTTCTGGAAGCACGCACAGCGCCATCTGTCCCCAGGCTCCCTGGCACTCACGACTCGCGGGAGCTGGCAGATGCTGCGCCTGGAGCAGACGTCGCAGCAGACACTTGCGAGAGGACACAGCAGGCACTGGCGGCGACCGGGGCGCTGGGCACTGCACCGAGGGAGCCCGGCCCTCACCGAGCACCGCGAGCGGTCCGCCGTCCCTGCTCCGGCCACAGGGCCTCTGCAGGATGGACGTGTTCGGCCCCTGGGCCCCCTCCCCTGCTGGACTGGTCACGGTCTGCAGAGCGGCCGCCTGCCAGGCCCTACCCTGCGCGCACCGCGGCCCCGTACCCTGCCGGGCCACGTCACTGCCCTGACAAGGCTCTGCGTCACTGTCAGCTACGGGCCGGCCCCGGGATGAGCACCGCCGGCTCGAGCAGGGGGACCACTGGCCCCCTGCGGCCCTGCTGGCTGTGACCGAGGTCGGGCCAGCTGTCCCCCCACAGCGCCCCGTGCTGCTCGAGAGCAGATGCGGGGCCAAGTCCCACGGCTTCTGTGCACCCTTTCAAAATTGACAGGTTTCTACTTTTAACGAATTGTGAGCAGGTTTCTACTTATATTTTGCTGATTGTTCCCTTTAGATCTATTTGTACATATATTCCACATGCCCGTACTCTTGTAAAAAGTCTCTTCCTCCCCTCTCCAAATCCCACCTTCCTCCCCGGAGTGAACAGAAAGGTGTTGTTCCCGCCTCTCTTATGTGGGGCGCACAGCGTGTGCCGTTTAGAAGGCATTCTTGGTGTCCTACTGTGTGTACAGGTCCCATTTTGCCACGTAACAACGTGTCTACTAATCCATTCCATGTCACACAGGGGCAGCCGGCCACCCATGGGAGGAACGTACCGTGATCGGTCCATGTCCCTGGTGATGGCACTTGGGCACAACACCCCAGGGCACATCCTGGGGCTCACAGGCAAGGAAGGTGCTTTGTGGGAGGGGAGCCCAGAAGCGGACTCGCTTTTCCTGCCCAATGTAATTACACTCTGCCCTCAGCTGTTGTGACACATGCTTGTGCACATCAAGACTTAGAAAACAGTCATCTTGTGTGTTCATTCTAGAAGCACCGAGGTTCAGAGCGGAAGGGGCTCAGGACCGCCACTGGTGTGAATCAGGGCGGTCACGGGAGCACACGCACAAATGCATGCACCGCAGTCCCGTGCGGGGCCCCAAGCCGGCGCTTCCGACCCGCGGCGGCGCCAGCCAGAGGCGGACCGCAGCCCCGGGACGCAGAGGCGAGGAGAAGCCAGGCGCGCCGGGGCGCGGCAGAGGACGCCTGCCACCCTCAGCACCTGCCTGCGACAGAACATGAAGCGGGCGGGGGCGGCCAGGCCGACTCGGAGCCGAGCAGCCGACCGCGTGCCAGTGACACGTCGCCGCTTTGGCTCAGGGTCGGGGTATTTTTAAAGGGTGAGGAGGACCCAGCTTTGGATTCTTTTTCTTTAATCTGGCCCCACACTGAGCTGTGCCCCACACCGGACGCCGATGTGACCATCCTCACGCAGCCTCCATCCGGACACAGAGACCACACCCACGTGACGGGGACCGGCTCCGCGCCGGCAGACGCGCTTCTGAGAATGAACGGGAGGACCCCCGTGCAGAACGCCGCAGCCCTGAACCCCTCACTTACTTTTCTATCAAGTCCAGTGTGACTCCGGGCACCAGGCTGACACATTTCTGCATGCAGAACCTGTGGAGGGAGAATGGAGAGTCAGCCCCAGGCACGGGAGGTGCGACAGGAAGACGCCGCCGCTGCCGCAGCAGTAATGAGGCAGTGGGAACGGGGACGGCCAGGGTGAAAAATCAGCCCAGGCCTCCTGCCTCCTGGCGGCTTCCGATCTCTGCAGGAGATCGTCCGGGCACAGGACTGCAGAGTCGCCAGCGGAAGGAGAGACACGCGTCCAGGGTGACGCGAAGTGATCCCCTGGAAGGGAGCTTCCACCAAATTACGGCCGATGGGACGTCCCTTCTTTCCTTCTTGAGAAAGTTCCTGGGGAGGGTGCCAGCTGCACAGAAGACACGTGCAGGAGAAGACAACAGGAAGGCGAACCCGCCACAGGAGTTCAATGAGCACAAAACCAGCCGCGGCAGAGCCAGGACTTGCCGTCCGCAGGCAGTGCCACCTGCAGAGCTGCGGGGGCCGAGCGCCCACCGCGGGCTCACGCGCTCGGGGGCCAGCCCAGCTCAGCCTGCGGAGGCAGCCACGGGCCCTCGCCCACAGAGCAGGAGGAACACGGGCTGACAGTGCCACCCGGAGCCACGCCCCGTCCTCTGCGCTTTACGATGGCACCGCCAGCCACGACCCGCGGCCACGCGTGTGCAGGCCCGGGCGGTCCCCTGCACACCAGGGGCTCTCGGTGCAGAACAGGGACCCGAGGAAAAGCACTTTCCAGCCTTATCTGAGCCCTATGCAGACGATGCCTCTCCGCCATCTGTTATCAATATCATCCTTATTGACTGGGACGTGTGGATTCCAGTAATGACAGAAAAACTTGTTTGAGATAATCCTCTTGCCAATAATAATAATAAGCTCTGGGCAAATATAAAAACAGCCGTTTGAAAGCACCAGGCAAAAACAGAAGGGGCACAGCCCTTAAAAGCAGCGCTGCAGGTGAGACCAGCCTCCCCCGCCGCTCCCTCACGTTCTCCCTGTCCACAGCACGTGGGGACAGCACTCGGCTCCGGGCAGGGGGCGTCTGACCGACCCCCCAGAGGGCCGAGCCCCATCACAGTCACGCTTCAGACTCCGAGCCGCACCCCGGAACTGCGAGCAGAGCCGGGGCAGCCAGCCCCACAGCCCGGCCGCCACAAGGTCAGTTAAACCACCTGAAGGACAGAGCTGAATGCTCTTCACAGGAGGCAAGCAGAGCCCAGGGCGGTGTCGCCCGCAAAGGAGGGCGCCCACCTAAAACCGAGAGAAAAGCCGGCTGATGAAACCAGGCTCGCAGTTGACCAGGTTCTGGAATTAGCAGACAAAGACTTTAAATTTATACAAATAACTCAATTATGGGCTGGGAAACAAACATTATAAATCCATGGAAAACATAAAGTCCCATTAAACAGGAAATTAAAAAGAGGAACATCACGCAAGTCTAAAATACTGATGCACGGTCGTGTGCCTAAGAGCGGCTAGGCTAAAGCAGGCCCTCCATCGACGCTGACAACCTGCAGGCGTCATGTGAGCCACCCGCGCCTGTTCCCGCGGCACCAGAACCGCCAGCGGCTGGGCTGTCCTTCACGCCGTCCGCCCCTTTGCCGCCCACGAGAGAGTGACTGGGCAGCGGGGGCCAGAGAGCCGGCAAAGTCGGAAGTGACGGGGCGGCTCCTGATTCCACGAAGCTGGATGCTGACGGTCCCAACAGGCACCGTGGCAGCTGGGACTTCGGTCGTGCTCACTGCTCGGTGCTGGGGATGGAGCTCGTGCACAGGCTCAGGCCGCTGTTGACCGTCTCGGTCTGACAGGACATCTCTGGAGAGCGGGCGCATGCGCCTGCTTCACGTTCGCCCCGCGGCGCCGACGCGGCCTGCCGGCTGCCTGCTGGCCCCGGCAGCGCCCTTGGCCAGGCCCGGTGGCCCCGGGGCCAGGCCGTTCTGTCGTGGGGCGGTGCCCCAGCCTCAACCCACAAGATGCCAGCAGCACCCCCACCCCAGTGTGACAACCAAATACGGCTCCAGAGGCTTCTGAATGTCCCCGGGCGGTGGGGAGGGCCGTAGCCCCGGGCCAACCCCTGGCATCTCTCACGTTTTCCGGAACAGCCTCTGGCCCAACACTCGCCTGCCCTCCCTGCCCTTCTCCCTATCGAGTCGTGCCCAGCACCCAGAGCAAGGCTTTCGAAGGGGAAATGTGGGAGCAAGTCGTTCCCTCCGCTGAGCGCCCTCTGTTGTCTCCAGGCTGCCCGACCCGCTGCAGGCACGGCCGCGGCCAGGCCTCGGGGGCCTGTGGGACCGGCCTCCGGCTGCTCCGCTCCCGGGGCCACTCAGCGGGCTCCAAGCACAGCCCCGCCTCAGGGCCTCCGCCTGGACGTGGCCCCAGACAACCGCGAGGTCCGCCCCGTTCCCTGTCGGCCACTGCCGCCCCGGACCAGCCCGAGGGAGCCGCCCCGCCGACCCTGCGCCTTCACCCTTTTTAAGAAGAGTGCTCCTCCTCCTGGCGCTTTAATATGTATTTGTTTTCCACCTGTCTTCATCCTGGCAGATGCGCGTCCAGCGAGAACTGGGACTTCTCTCGTTTTGCTCGTCAGTGCATCCCCAGAGCTTAGGAAGGTGCCTAACACATGGCTTTGAACTCGATGAATAGGAGATCGGCTTGGTAGTGCTGACAGATCTCATGCTTCACGTATATTCCTTTATTCCTACCACTCTTGAAAGCAAATGGTTTTAGACTTTTATGAAGAAAAACTGAGGTTAGAAAAGCTCATCTTGGTAACCTCATTGTTTCTGAGAATGAACATACGTTGAAAAATATTTTTCTAAAAAATGTATTTACCATAAAATTAAAAATACACAATAGTACAAGTGAGGGTTACCCAAGAGCCTGTGGCGACCGTCAGCACCTCAGGCCGGCTAGCAATTTTTTCAGTTCCTGTGCTTTGCTTGTTTGTTGCGGGTTCCCTGCCCTCTGCTTTTTCCTGCCGGGGGTCCTCACCGTCTTATTGATGCGCACAGCGTTGCATATGTTAACAGAGTTAACCTTTTCTTATGTGTTACACAATTTTTCTGAATTTATCATTTTATTTAAATTTTTGTTTTCTTTGCTGTTACTACAAAACTTGAAATTTGTGTTAAATAAAACCTACCACTTCCTTTCTGACTTTTTAATTCTTCCAGTTGATCATTTTTCCAGTATGTTTGTGAGTTTGTTTTTTTTTATTTTTACACTTAAATCTTTGGTATGTTTGGAATTTACCTTATTAAGGTAAGAGGCAGGGATTTAAAATGTCTGAATGGGTAGCCATGCGCCCTGAATCCCACGTGTTGAGTAATTCATTCTTTTTCCAATGATGAATTCTTACCTACGCAGACGGTTTCTGGAGCTCCGCTGCCTTGAATGTCTACTCTTATTCCAGCTGTACTTTCAAAATGCACTTTCGTCGCTGACAGGGCACGTTTCCTTTCACAAATCTTTTCGTCTTTTATTTTCACAGCTCTTCTTGAGCATGTATTCCTCCGGCTGACCTTTGAAGCCCTGTTCTCAGGACTGTGTTAAATTCGCGGGTGAGTTCAGGCGGAATCCCCACCCTCACTGAAGGCCTCACGTGTCAGGACGTGGCCAGTCCCTCCGTTCATCAGACCTCCTTTCCCGACGGCGGTCCCTTGTTGGGGACCTTGTCTTTTATGCAGCTCGCTCACATTTTTGTCATTGTTCCTGTTGCTCTTGTGAATCAGATTTACTCTCCGCCCCCGCACCTCCTTGCTGGCTGCTTTTAATGTAAAAAGCGGCACAGGAAGAGCATGTAAGATGCAGATGTGGGTTTAATAATCAAGCAGACACGACACCACCGGGCTGAGAACCAGCCCATGACGAAGTCCGAAGGACCTGCGCGTGGGTGTCCCCGCGCCTGCTGCCCCTGCCTCGGCGGCAGCCACTCTGACTCTTGTGTATTGATCTGTGTGTGCGTATTTGTCTAGTGATCAGTCACTTCACTGAACACTTTTCCGATGGATTTTAATGGCATTTTTGCAAAGTTGAAATTCAGATCATATGTAAAAATGTAAACCTGCCTTCTCTTTACAATGTGTACCCTTTTTGTTTTTTTCTTGTCCAAATACTACACTGGGTGCGTTACAGGGCGGCTGGCTGGACGAACGTGGCTGGCGAGTGCCCTCGCGCCGCCGGAGTCCCGGCGATAACCGCGTGGGGCACGGCCTGGGAGCGTGGCACCGGGCCTGCGGGGAGCTCTCTCACGCGTGGGAAGTGCTCTTCCGTTCTTACTGTTAAGTTTTTATTAAAATTCATTTTTAATTTTATCCAATAACTTTCTTCCACTCGCCTACTAAGATGATGAATTATATTAATAGGCAGCCTAATAGAAAGTCATCAAAGCAACTCTGGAATGAATCTCACTTGTCCCAAGCTAATCGTTCTCTTACTGCACTGCAGGGTTCCAGTCGCTGGTGTTTGATCAGGAGCTCGTCTCCAGTGTCTGTGTGCGCGTGCGTGTGTGCTTCTGTATTTGTGTGCGTGTCCACGTGTGCACGTTGTCTGCTGGGGGAAAGCGCCAATGTCCGGATCGAAGGCTGGGTCCATGCCTGCCGGGCGCCCCGCCTCGGCCGCCTGTGCTGCCTGGCGTCCTCTCAGGACGGCACTGTGCTGCGGAGAGGCCGGCTCTCCAGGAAAACCTGATTTTGAGACTGGCAGCCACCCCGGGAGCTGCAATCAAGGTCGCTGCCGAGAGGCGGCGCCGCACTAACGGGCGCCGCTCTCGAGTGGGAAAACCCTGGGAAACTGCAGCTCTGCACTTGCTAAAGGCACCGGTCTGAGCGGTTACGTAACTTCTCCGCGCTTACAAAATGAGGGTAATGTACCTGTAAAGTCGGAATTGCTGAGATTAAAAGCAACAATACGTCTCAATTTGTGGCTAGTACACAATAAAAATGAAATAAATACGTTTCCCCCTTACTAGCGAGATTTTCTTAAAACAACTTCCAGAACATTCTGCTCTACCCACGTACGGGGCTGGGAGCCTTGAG